TAATCCGAAGAGGCAACAAAGTGCTTTCCACATATTTTGTGTTGAGTTAGTATTCTCACCATCAAACTCAGCCTGGCCAACTCCAACAATGATGATAGACATGGGGAGTTTGGCTGCCTGTCATAAACAAGAAGAAGAAACAGTCAGTTGTCAGTCACATGCCAGGAATACAATATTTTCTTTCAAAAAAACAAAAAAGAACCAAAGCCATCAAAGTTTTTCGCAGAGCATGAAAGGGTTACATTTCCAATTTCGTTTATTTATCCACCAACACACATCTCATTAAAACAGTCAGTATGAACCGACATGCACAGTTCCCCAGAGAAGACATAAATGATAATGGATAAGATAAAATAAGACAAATATAAATTAGAAATAGCATAAAAACGTTGTCTTGACTATGTTACACATCACACTGTGTTGTATAGTTTTGTTCCCAATGGAGCCAAGGGAAAAACGCAAAATGCATTATTCAAACCAGGGCCTTCAAGGTGGAGACAACTGTCAGCACGCACAGAATTTGTTAGCTAACCAATATACACACAATCACAATCTCAGGGTAGTTAAAAAACATAAGGTTATGCAATGTTCTTGCAGTTTGCAGAAATCCTGCAAACACCACTCAGTATAAAACCATTTATTCAAGTTTGATTATAGAAATAATTCAAATGCCTTTAATATCAGAACAGAAAAGTTCCACATGTTGTGTCTATTTAAACTACAGTCAAAACAAATCCTAAATCTACAAGATGAAAGGGGGCATCTTCTCCACGGTTTGTGGTGTAGAGGTTACTGCACTGCATGAATTCAGACCATGGCATTGGTGTGCAGAACGTGAAAGCCCTGGCACGAATGAATGAATGATATATGCTTGTGGTAGAAATGCATTCACGGGGGCAAAAGTAGGTCAGCTTTCCTGGAAAAACCTCTCAAGGGGAGAGGCCTGTCACAGATAGGAGTAAATAGACTGAGGAGGACCTCCCCTTTCATGGTCTCTATCGTTTTTCTCCCTCAGTCTCTATTCCTGATTTATTTCTTTCCTCCACTAGTGTTTTTCCTCATGACCTCTTGCTCTCGCACAAAATAGCCTATATATTCTATTTTCCCAGTTTCCAGCAGACCAAAACCCCCAGGTATATACTTGCCAGAGCTGATACTGTTGCTTGAGCTGCATTATTCAGTTTACACCATTTGTTACTTTGCGTGTACTGTAAAGTGTCACTCCTCCAGTTTTTCTGATGCTTCACTTTCACTGCAGAGAACCACAATAAATATAAAGGGACTCAGCAGATATTCGCTCTGATATCAGCAGTTTCATTTAATAATAAAGGACTACAGAAATATTTTAGGACAGGAAGAATGGCGCCACCATGTTTCAATCATGCCCATGAATTTAATTCTTCACAAAACTTTTACCACAAAATCTAAATATGTACATTGCCTCTGCAGTAGCTTTCATTTGATTCTGTACCAACACCGTTACGTATTCTGTATCAGGTTGCTCCTGTATAGGAATTTCTTTCACTCATGTATTAATCACATTATTGTATGATGCCTTGGTGCCACTGGATTTTAACATGTGTGACACTCATACGTTAAGAGGGGGTGTAGTAAGGATGTTGGGGGAAACAGGAACTCCACAGGACCAGTCTTTTGTCTCTTTGAGGACTCTGGGAGGTAGCAAGGGAGTGTGAACCTTAAGGTGTGAAACAGCTGTGTACTGCCTTTTGTTCCTGGAGAAGGTATTTAACTGAGAGCCATGCTAGGCTCAGTGAGAACTCTGCTGACCGTCTGTCCCGCGGACATGCAGGGGCTCCATCAAGCTTGGTTGTCTGTTCTTTGTGTGTTTGGATAAAAGAATGATAGCTACCGCTCACCGCTCGTCTGCAGGCTTTATTTAAGTGGAAAACTTCCACAACACCCCATCTCACCGAAGCTCGAAGATGAAGACCCAAATTAAGCTCCCTAACAGGAAAATATCCACGGTTTTATGAGGTTCCTGAGTCAGTCTCACCCAACTGCAGATATAATCTAAATTTTGCATACAAATTAATTTATGTCTGTTCCTCTCGGGCTAAAAACAGGCGCTGCTTTACAATTTTATTAAAATAAAATTTTCAGTTTCAGGGAAAAACATCAAAGGAAAAGAGTTGCAGACTGTATTTACCTCTGAGGCTGTTCTGTCAGATAAGTGGATATCAATCCCTGAAGGCTAAACTGTTTAAAATACAGTACCATACAGTGTGGCCATTAGCAGTAAAATTACCCGTCAATATTTGCTCTGTACAGTATTTTAAATTAGCTGTCATGACACAGCACAGCCTGGAAGAAAGAAAAAAAAGTGCAGAGATGAGTGTTGGACACAGCTACTTGTTTATGATTCATCGTTCCAGGGCAAAGGCTGAATACCTAATGAAGCTCTTCCATCCAAAGAGAGTGAAGTCAGGTCCAGTGGCAGCAGGATGTGGCAGGTTGAGCAGAGCGCAGAGCAGCAGACAAGATCTTAAAAGGAAGGTGTGGCTGTTCGAATGGTTTGATTAACAGTCGCAAATTCCCTTTAAACCCAGTCTGCTGGGGGTCTGAACACTGTGTTCCTGTGAGGCTCTACCCGCTCGACGATGACTGATCGTCAGCCTTACCTCTGTGGGCAGATTCCAGCCAAAGGTGAGCTGCAGCGTTG